AGAATGTCCAACATTTAAGAATTTTATTGAAAAAATGCCAAACGTCTAAGAATTTTATTGAAAAAATGCTCGACGTCTAAGAATTTAATTTGTTTATTTTATTTAAAAAATGCCCACCTTTTGGAAGGGATAATCGAATTAAGAACATTGGAATCGATGAATATTTTCCATAGCTCAACCTTCACCGAGTTATACATTTCGCGAAATAAACATTTCGTAATTTAATACGCATTTATCCCGGAAGAAGCTACATGTATATCTAAACTCGATAACGATTGACCGTGACGCGGTGTTCCCAATGATTGTCAGTCTACAGAGAGCTTGCCAATGCAGATGTTCGATTAACACGTTTGGCGGGAAAGTGTTGATTTCGCGACGTCCTTGCAGCCTGATAACCGAGATACGAGGATAATAATTATCGTGCGCAGGAAGGTGGCTCAGCTGTGTGCAGCTTAGACAATGTCCGAAGATCCTGACGCTATATCAGAAGAAAGAAGTTTGTTCCGTCCGTTCACGCGGGAGTCCCTGGCAGCGATCGAGGCACGCATCGCCGAGGAACATGCCAAGCAGAAGGAGCTCGAGAAAAAGAGAGCGGAAAGCGAGGTAAGAAACGCGAGACCGTTCGATTCGCGTTTGTACCTCAGTCAATGACGGACGACTCATGTTCGCGAGATTTAACGCCTTTTTAATTCAGACCAGACCGACGATCAGTCTTCTGATTCCTCTCCCGTTTTCATTATCCAACCGAAGACTTTTTATGCAATTCGAAAATCATTCAACGTGAAAAACATTTTTAATATTCATTTTTAAATCGAATATTGACAGACTTCGAAGCTTAATTTTTTACAACTGCATAAAAATCTGAGGCTCGTTCATCGTTTGTCGATAAAAGATTCGTTCCATTATCATTATTAAAGAATCCATCGAATCTTCCATAGAAGCCACACGTCCCTTTTTCTCATGCGTAACCCGTGCAATCGAGAATATTGGCACTGGAACATGAACGAAATTCCTCCCCCCTCCCCCCTTCCCCCGTATCGCTTAAAGAAATGCAAACCAAATAAAACAGAGTGAGTCGACCAATCGTATTTTAAAACGATCGCGTCACTCGTGATTCGCGTTTCCAGTTAGAGACCAGTTCCAAGAAGGCACCCACGATCGTTCTACGTAACGTAATTAACATCGATACACACAGGTGGTTTTTTATAAGAGATATATCTCGAAACAAGCATCGCTGTTTAAATGTGTTACCAATGATTTGTTTCACCAGTAAACACGTTCGTCTGCTTAAGAGTCGATTAAACTTTCTCCATAGAAAGCCGGACTATATGTAAAGCAGTGGTCGATAACGTGGCGACTCGTTTAACGATTTTATCGATATTTACATACATTGTGCAGTTTGAACGAAACGACGTTTTTCTAAGGCGAAACAATTAATCGAACTTAAGCACGTGGATCAATCACGGTGTTGTCCGTGACGCTCAATGGTCGTTACTAATTATTATTTTCCTTTTTTTTTTCTTTTTTTTTTTTCTATTCAATCCCTACTTTCGTTTTGCGTAGCTGCTCTTTTGCGAGATCTGTTTCTTCATATCACGAATACCATGTCTGTACTATCTATACTGTATCTATACATACGATTATACGTCAAGCTGCGGTGTTTCTATCTACCCTCTTGTAAACAACCGATTGTCGCTAACCGTCGCGTTGATTGTTTTGCTTGATTTACTGCTGAACGTAGTGGAAAATACGTGGCTATCCTCCTATCGACGACTCTTGTCTCCTACCTACTGTATACGTATGATCTGTGTATCATACACGCTTACACATATATGTATACGAACAACGACTGTCGTCCAAGTAATGTATTGTTTTTGTGTTACCAATGATATGTTCGCGTACGAGCTCGATGTCTGCAGTGTCACTATCTGTGCCTGTTTCTATACATATATACATATACGTACCTACATATAAATACCACTCGCAGTTCTCTCTCTTTCTCTCTCTCTCTCTCTCTCTGTCTCTCTGTCTCCCAACCACCCCCTCTTCTGCACCAGATTTACTCTCGATACTTTGTCACGTTACGTATCATCAGTTGTAACATGTCACGT